CTAGCTGTGTGACCCTGGGCAAGTCACTTAACCCTGATTACTTCACCAAAAAGCAAAAAAAAAAAATTAGAATGCAATGACATGTTGTTTACAAGAAACACATGTAAAAATGAGAGACACAGAGTAAAACTAAATGGCTAGAATAAATTTTATTATGATTTGGCTGATGTAAAAAACAGGGGTAGCAATCATGATCTCAGACAAAGTTAAAACACAAATAGATTTAATTAAGAGATAAACTAGGAAACCACATTATGTCAAACCACAGATAATGAAATAATATCAATACTAAATACACACTCACACACACACACACACACACACACAATACTATAGCATCCATAGTTTTAAAGGAAAAGCTAAAGCTAAATGAATTACAGGTGGAAACAGACAGCAAAATTATAACAGTGGGAGACTTCCACTTTCCCCTAGCAGAACTAGATAAATCTGACCAAAAAATAAATAAGAAAGAAGTCAAGAAGATGATAAGAAATAGAAATCTTAGATGAGCTAGATAGGATAGAAATCTGGAGAGAACTGAATGGGAATAGAAAAAAATATACCTTTTTTCAGCACCTTAACAAAAACTGACCATCTATTAGGGCATAAAAATTTTATAGTTAAAGTAGGAAAGCAGAAATATTAAATGGATCCTTTTCAGATCATAATTCAATAAATACCATATTTAATAAAGGACCATGGAAACAAAGATTAAAAATTAATTAGAGATTAAATAACCTAATCTTAAACAATAAGGGGGTTAAAGAACAAGTCACAGAAACAATCAATAATTTCATTAATGAGAATGATAATAATGAGACAATATACCAAAGCTTAATGAGATGCAACAAAAGCAGTAATCAGAGGAAAATTTATACCTCTAAATGCTTACTTACATCAAAAAATAGAGAAAGTAGATCAATGAATCAGGTATACAAGTAAAACAACTAGAAAAAGAACAAATTTTTAAATCCCCAATTAAACACCAAATTGGAAATCCTAAACATTAAAGGTGGGATTAATGAAATTGAATGTAAGAAAATAATTGAATTAATAAATAAAACTAGATATGGGTTTTATGAAAACCTTTGGTTAATATGATTTAAAAAGAGAGAAGAAAACTAAATCAGTATCAAAAATGAAAAGGGTAAATAAACCATTAACGAAGAAGAAATTAAAGCAATTGTTAGAAGTCATTTTGCCTAATTATATGCCAATATATTTAACAATTTAAGTGAAATAGAAGAATATATACAAAAATATAAACTGCCCAGTTTAACAGAAGAGGAAGCAAAATATCTAAATAAGCCTATTTTAGAAAAAGAAATTGAGGGGCAGCTAGGTGGCACAGTGGATAGAGCACTGGCCCTGAAGTCAGGAGGACCTGAGTTCAAATCCGGCCTCAGACCAAACATTTGGCACTTACTAGCTGTGTGACCCTGGGCAAGTCACTTAACCCCAACTGCCTAAAAAAAAAAAAAAAGAAAAAAAAAAGAAAGAAATTGAATATGCCATAAATGAGCTTCCTAAGAAAAAAGCATCAAGACCAGATGGCTTTACAAGTGAATTCTATGAAATATTTAAAGATAAACTAATTCCAATATTAAATAAATTATTTGAAATAATAGAAAAAGAAGTTCTGCCAAACTCTTTTTATGAAACAAATGTGGTGCTGATATCTAAACCAGAAAGAACAAAAGCAGAGAAAGAAAATTACACACCAATTTCCCTAATGAATAGTAATGCAAAAATCCTAAATAAAATACTAGCCAGTGAACTATAACAATATATCACTAAGCTTACACATTGTGACCAAGTGGGATTTATACTAGGAATGCAAAGATGATTTTAACATAAGGAAAACTATTAACATAATTGATTAAAACAATAACAAAGTAACAAAAACCATAAATTATATCAACTGATGTAGAAAGTTTCTGACAAAATACAACACTCAAGTATTAAAAATATTGAAAGTATCAGAATAAATGAATTTTTCCTTAAAATGTTAAGAAGTATCTACCCAAAACCATCACCAAGCATTATCTGTAATAGAGATAAGCTAAAGCCTTTCCAATAAGATAAGGAGTGAAACAAGGATGTTCATTATTAATGATATTATTCAATATTGTACTAGAAATGCTAGCAATAGCAATAATAAAAAGAAAGGAAGGAATCAGAACTATTTCTTTTTGCAGATGATATGATGGTATACTTGAAAATTCCTAAAAATTCAACTAAAAAGTTAATTTAAACAATTTTAGCAAAGTAGCAGGATATGGAATAAACCCACATAAATCATCAGCATTTCTATTTATGACCCAACAAAGCCCTGCAAGAAAAGATGAAAAAAGATACCCCATTTGGGGCAGTTAGGTGGCACAGTGGATAGAGCACCCCCTGAAGTCACGAGGACCTGAGTTCAAATCCAGTCTCAGACTAAACAATTGACACTTACTAGCTGTGTGATCCTGGGCAAGTCACTTAACCCCAATTGCCAAAAAAAAACCCAAAAAAACAAAAAAAACCCCACATTTAAAATAACCGTAGATAGTATAAAATACCTGGAAGTGTACCTGCCAAGACAAACCCAGGAACTATAATACCCTTTACATACAAATGGTCAAATTTAAATAACTGAAGAACTATTCATTGTTCAGGAGTGGGCAAAACCAATATAATAAAAATGAAAATTCTACCTAAACTACTTATTCAATGTCATCCCAATTAAATTGCCATTACTGTGACTGATGAAAGATATAACATGGACACAGTGATCAGTACATGGCCAGTCCATAATCTTGTGTTTGGGCATTTACCCACCAACATTGGCTTAACGCCTAAGCTTGAAAATGAGCTCATTACTAATCAGAAACCCCCAAATATCCACCAATCATTAGCAATATGTTTTATAGCTCCACTCCCCTTTGTTTGATTTCTGTAACTACCACTAGGCTTTCCTGGCGTCTTTGCAGGGATCCAACCTGTAGTTTGGCCACTGCCCCAGACTGATGACTATCAGACTCTTGGTAGGGATCTATCATACTGCCCCAATGTAAGTATCCAATTGACTAAACTAGTACCTATAATCAGTCTGGAGTTCTTTGGCCTCTTCCTTTGGTATCAAACTTGGCCCACTGTTTGGAAGGGAAGTACAGAGTTCCCTAGGTGGGGGAATTCCAGACCCTACAGGCACCAATGTTAGAACTGCAATGAAGGAAACAGTTCCTTCTAATGAGAGAGTTGTATGTACAGACTAAACATAAAAAGAAGAAATGCAAGAAAGGACACTAGCAATTGAGAGGATCCAGAAAACGTTAATGTAGAAGGTGGTGCTTGAGTGGCATCTAGAAGGAAGAGGACTCTGAGACAAAAGTGAGGAGGAAGCACATTGATATTTTAAGGATGGCCAATTCAAAGGCCATAATGAATACAGAATATTATGCATGAAGAACAGAGAAAAGCCAGCTTGACTGGCTTTGAGGAATTCAAAGGTAGAGAGATAAGAAATAGAGTGTAATACGTGAAAGACAGAGAGAAGGCCAGTCTGGCTGGACTGTAGTAGAGGACAAGAGGTTGAGTGATGTTAAATGAGTTTGGAAACAGAAGGTATGACAGGTTTGTATAGGACTTAAAAGCTAAACTGAGAAGTTTATATTTGATTTTAGGAAGCTACTGGAGTAGCTATCAAATCAGAGAGTGACATGGTTAGATTTTCACTTAAGGAAAATCACTTCGGCAGCGACATGGCAAAAGACTGGAGTGGGAAGAGGAGGTTTCAATAGTGTGGCCAAGAGGTAATGCAGGCCTGAACTAAGGTGATAGCTGTGTGAGTAGAGACAAGAGGTAGAATGAAAGAAATGTTATCAAGGAAGAAATAACAGACTTTGGCAACTGGCAATAACAGAATTTGGCTATTTATATATGTATGTATGTATGTATGTATGTATGTATGTATGTACATATATATATATATATGTGGCATGAGGGGGAGAGAGGAGTTAAGTATAACATCAAAGTTACAAACCTAGGAGTCTATTAAAAAAAATAGAAGTATCAGACAAAAATAAGGAAATTTGGAAGTGAGGAGTTGGGGGGGTGGGGGTGCCTGGTGAGATTAGTTCAGTTGTCAATTAATAGCATCACAGGTTTAAACCTGGGACCTACCATGTGCAGAACACACTGCTAGCTGCTAGTATCTTGATTCTGCTGGGAGAGACTAGATGTGGGGATACCAGTCAGACGGCTGTATTGTCAGGGGAAAGCTAACAAAGGCCTAAGCTAAGGTGGTAGCCATAGAAAGCGAGTCATGATTAATCACCAGCATATTATATTGAGTTATTTTCTAGAAGCAATAATGAGCTTTTGTGTAAGCTATCCATAGACTCTTAGCTGGTTCTCCCCTTTTACCAACGGAATGCATTTTAAAGATATCTGGTCTAAGTTAGGGTTGTAGTTTGCAGCCACAGAATACTGTATAGAAAAACTAACAGACTTCAATGACTTGAATTCACTAGCACCATGTCACATTAGCACTATGTCACGTGTTGTTTGCTACCTAAAGAGTCACATCACTGGTACCTTGGTAGTTTTATTTTAAGAAATCTGAAGTAGATAAAAGCATCTCACTACAGAAAAATTGAATTACATATTTCCTTATCCTGGCAAAAAACTGTTCAAGTCACATTATGATGAAAATAATTTATGCCTTCCAAAAATTGAGGAAAAGTCTTTCTCTAATTACTCTGTTTAAACATTTTAACTCATTCTTTCTTCTTGGAAAACATAAAAAGTCTTTGCTATCTCACTAAAGTTGTTAAGCAACCTTGACAAAACTAAAAAAACAGGGAAAAAAGATTTTAAAATAATTTCTACATGTATGTGTATACATATAACTTATACACATGTACACATACACATATGTAAATCACAAGTGTAAAATAAGCAACTCAAAATTTAAAAAATAAAATAAAATAAACAACTCATTGGAAGTTGCTCACCTTGCCCTGCTCAATACAAAAGAGTCTTTTACCATTACCACTGGACCCAGCTCTGGACATTCTGAGTCATGGTACTGACCACAGTCTTCACACCCTGTAAACAGACAAACAGATCTCTTCAAAGGCAGCATTCATGGTTAACTATAATTCAACCAGACTGCTAGAAAATCTTAATTAATGCTGTAACAAACTTGTAAGAAGTAGATGCAAAACACACTGCTAGCTGCTGATTGAGGTTACCATGAATGTGAATGAATATTTTTTTTAATGTGAATGAATACTGAGATCACCAAAACAAACAAAACATATGACTCATTTGATTGAGTAAGCCATGTCTTAATATTTCACTCCATAAATATATAATGTCCTCTAAGGAAATGTCTACAAATAATCTGTAGTCATTTCTTTGAAAGTAAGAGCAAATTTATTCCAAAGAGGGGAAATGTAAAATATTTTTCGTGTTTCTGGTGTCACATCGTTTTTCTGAATCAGTGTCTAAAGCATGCAAAGTTCTGTTTGCAGGAAGGATGTAAAAAGTCTGTTATATTAAAACTATTTATACAGTCTTCCCCATTTAGCAACTGAGGCTATTTAAACCTATTATGAGTTTCCTATAGCTTTCCCCGCCCCCTAAAAAAATAACCTGGATATTTAGAAAATATTTTCCCACGTTAAAAAAAATCTACCATAATCTTACATAACCAATAAAGTTCTTTTTTGAAAATAATTTTTTCCAATTACACGCAAAAACAATCTTTAACATTCTTTTAAAAAAATTTGAATTCCAAATTCTCTCTCTCTCTCTCTTCCTCCCTTCCCCCCTCCTTGAGAAGGCAAGTAGTTTGATATAGGTTATATATGTGCAGTCATGCAAAATATTTCCATATCAGTCACAGTGTGGAAGAAAATACTGACCAAAAAAAGCCCACAAGAAAAATAAAATTAAGTTTAAAAAAAAGTAGGCTTTGATATCAATTCAGACTCTATCAGTTTTTCCTCTGGAGATAGTTAGTATTTTTTCATCATAAGCCCTTCAGAAATCTGTTGGATCATTGTATTGCTAAGAATAGCTAAGTCATTCACAGTTGATCACTGTACAATATTGCTGTTACTGAGTACAATGTTCTCCTGGTTCTGCTCACTTCACTTTGTATCAGTTCATATAAGTCTTCCCAGGTTTTTCTGAAAGCATTCTACTTGTCATTTCTTATAGCACAGTAATGTTCCATTACAATCATATACCACAACTTGTTCAGCCATTCCCCAATGGATGGGCATCCCCTCTATTTCCAATTCTTTGCTACTATAAAAAGAGCTGCTATAAATATTTTTGTTTATATAGGTTCTTTTCCTTTGAAGAAAAAAAAAGTTCTTTGTGATATAGACCTAGTAGTGCTGTTGCTGGGTCAAAGTGTATGTATGCTGTTTTATAGCCTTTTGCACATAGTTAAAATTACTCTCCAGAATAGTTGGATCAGTTCACAACTCCACCAACAGTGCATTAGTGCCCATATCCTCTCCAACACTTGTCATTTTCCTTTTCTATCATATTAGCCAATCTGAAAGTTGTGAGGTGGTACCTCAAAGTTGTTTTAATTTGCATTTCTTTACTCAATAGTAATTTAGACCATTTTTTCAAGACCATAGATAGCTTTGGTTTCTTCACCTGAAAACTGCCTGTTCATATACTTTGACCATTTATCAATTGGGGAATGACTTGTATTTGACTCAGTTCTCTATATATTTGAGTAATTTCAATATTCTTTCATGTGATATACTTACAAATAAACATAGTTTCATCACTGCCATCTTCAGCCATTTCTGAAACCTGTCAAAACAAAAAGGAAGGAATCAGTTAATACTGATGAAAATGGCATTTTGAAAGAATCTTTGGGAAGCCTATGCAAATTAGAATGCTTTAAGATTTGTAAAGGACATCTTGGGGAAAAATAGAAACCACAATCGTTTTGCAACATTTTGATGGATTAACAATATAAGTACCCCAACCATCCGGTGGCCTAATAATAATTCATGACTGCTACTGAAAAAGAAACAGAATAAACTATGCAAAGACAGTAAAAAGAGGAAGGTCTGATCTACTGCTATTCACAACTGTTTGTTTTCCTTGGATAAGTGATACCTACAGTCTGGTCTAAATGGTTACCTCGACCCTACAGTTTCATCTAAAGGGACTTCTTTCACAATTGCAAAAAAAAGTATTGGTCACCAGCTCTTGTCCCCTGCCCTTGAACAGGAAATGTCTTCTCATTCTGATAATAAACCCTATCAGTGGCATGGTAAATATTTCTCTAGAAGCTTCCTCCTTTTCTCCCTTGAAAGATTTCCCTTTTCTCTACCCATGCCTCTGCTGTGAAAGGTGTCATTTATCTGTCCTAAATTGCCAGAAAATCCTGTTGATTGTTTACTTAAAGCTTGTGTGAAAAGTTATAAAAACTAAATCTGTACTCTAGGATGTTAAAGCAGCTATCAGCAGTTGTCTTAGCATACTAATACTTTTCTTCACTTTTAATTTGGCCTCCTCTCTGACCTAAGTCATTCATTGGACCTTGTACTGGTATAGAAAATTCTCCAACATACTTTACAAATATTATTTTCACAACATCCCTGCGAGGCAGGCGCTGTGATTATCTGCATTTTATAGATGAGGCAGGCAGAAGTTGAATGCTAAGTCAAGACTCAAACTTACACCTTCCTGCCTCCAGGTCCAGTGCTAGTATTGTATTAGATTTTGTCCACACTCAACTCCTTTCCAAATAAACAAGGTTCTCACATTTTAAAAAATTTATTCATTTATCTATTTTGTTTGTTGTTCAGTCATGTTTGACTTTTTGTGACCTCATTTGGGATTTTCTTGGCAAAGGTGCTGGAGTGATTTGCCATTTCCTACTCTAGCTCATTTTACAGATGAGGAAACTGAGGCAGTCAGGGTTAAGTGACTTGCCCAAGGTCACACAACTAGTAAGCGTCTGAGGCCAGATTTGAACTCAGTCTTTCTGATTACAGGTCTGATACTCTATCCACTGCACCACCTAGTTGCCCCTATTTATTTTATAGCCATTTATTTTTTCTATCTCTGCCCCCCTAACTGAACAATTAAAAAAAATTTTTTTTATATGGACAGTCCACCAAAAAAAATTCCATATTGTCTGAAAATGTATGGCTTCAATCATTCCTTGAAGTGTGATGAGATTTTTTTAATCACAATTTTCAGATCAAAGAATTCCTAAATATCTCTTCTTGACCATTTTTCCACTTCAGTCATTTTTTAATATTATATTCTTGTATTTTGTTTTTTTCAATCTTTTAAGACTTCCTGTTGTCTCACTGAGACATTTCCTGTTTTGCCCATTTAAATTTTCAGAGCATTTAGTACTTGGGTGGCTAATGTAGTTTACACTATTCTTTTCTAACTGCTACATTTTCAACCTTTACTGACGTGTTTACAGGGGATCTGAGCTACTGAAGTTCCCATCTGCTCCCAGATCTCAATTCTCCTTGTCCCTCTCTCCTCCCTAGCCTTGCATTGTTTCTTTTCTTTCATTTCTTCCAAGTACTCTTATAATCCTTATGACCAGGACATTTTTTTTCCCTCCCTGAATCTCGTAAGCCAGCATTTAATGGGGGTTGTTCTCTTCCTCAGGGTTTACCCCCTAGACTGCATGCAGTCCAAGGTATTTCCTCATAGTAGTAGGCTTTTTTTCTTTGGCTTGCTCAAAACCGGGAGGCTTGTGTCTAGATCACCAGGCCCTACCTGGACCTGAATGTAGTAGACAAACTTTGGTCCTTTCTTCTGGAATTGTTTGGCCTTGTTTTTTGCTGTGGTTCAGACCTAGATTGCCTAGATGTAAACTTGGACTTAGATGCTGTTCAGGGCTCCATTTCTACTGTAGCCAGGGCTCTAGGAGGAACTGAGGCTGAGGCTTTTTTCTTCAGTTGCTCCAAGGACTCCCCAAGGCCACCTTCATAATGTGTTCAACTCAGGCCCTTTGCAGGGCTCTTCTCCCCCTTTCTCTTGCTGCAGAGCTCAACTATTTCTATAGTGCTCTACAGCTAGGCTACAACTGAGCTGTGCTCTGCCTGGGGCTCCTTGATGAGATCTTAGCAAACGGCTACACTCAAGGGCTGGGCTGTGCCTAGGAGGGCCTTATTCTTGCTACATGACCCATCCTGCATTATGTTCCATCTGGGGTCCTTCTCCCATCCCACTGGGGCTGGGCTCAGGGGCTACTTTAGCCCTGAGCTCTATCTACGACCTCCCTCTTGTCACAGGCTCCAGGGCAGCCCTCATGAGTTAGACTCTGCTTGGGGCCCTTACCTTCCTGCTCCTGGGGTCTAGGGATGCTCTCAAACTGGGCTCCCAGTATGGGATCACCTCAAGCCTTGGGGCCCTTCACCCAAGGCTTGCCCTATATCTATCCTACACTGGACTCTTCTTGGAGTCTACCTCCAGTTGCCCCACAGTTGTTTTGCTCTACAGAACTACCCTAACTTATCTACCTCCAAGTGTCTCCAGGATCCTAGTGTTCCTTCTGTGTAGGACTGGGCTAGGTAATGTAGTTTACACTATTCTTTTCCAACTGCTGCATTTTCAATCTTTACTGAGGTGTTTACAGAGGATCTGAGCTACTGAAGTTCCCAACACACTACCATCTTCCTACAATTCCCCCATTTTATCTCTTTACAACCTTGAGTTCATATCATTATTAATTTTTAATAAAACAATTAATTTGAATTTTTAAAATAATTTAAAATTTTATAATATTTTATATATTATATAATAGTATATATATATATATGTAAAAAAAATTAAAAATACTGCAAACTTTGAGTAGAAGGTGTTCTTAATCTATAAAAACATGACATTTTACCATAATCCAACTGAAGCACAGTATAGTAAAAAGACATGAAATCAGAGAATGTGGATTCAAATTTTGGATTTGCTACTTGTAGAAAAGTGACCAAGTCACTTTACTTCTCTAGGTCTCTGTTTCCTCATTTGTAAAATAAAGGGTTTAGTCCAGAAAATGGGTTTATGACTTTTTTTGTGTCATGGTTCTCCCCCCTGCCCTCCAGTAGTCTATGGATTCAAGTTACGTACTCTTTCCAAGAACAATGTTTTTCTTTTCTTTTCTTTTTTTTTTCCTAGGCAATGGGGGTTAAGTGACTTGCCAAGGGTCACACAGCTAGTGTCAAGTATCTGAGGCTGGATTTGAACTCAGGTCCTCCTGACTCTAGGGTCAATGTTTTATCCACTGCGCCACCTCGCTGCCCCAAGAATAATGTTTTTAAATGAATAAAACACAAAGGACTACAAAGGAAACAAATTATATTGAAGCAAAGATAGACTTTTATTTTACTATCCCATATCTAAAGACCTTTCCAGATATAAATGTTATCATGATGACCTACATCAATTGCCATTTATAAAGTAATCATCATAAAAATTATTGAAATATGAAAATGTATCTGCAATTCCATTAATTTGGATGTTCCCTGTACAACATAGATCATAAGCAATCAATGGCTGTTCAACCCCAAGAAGACAAAGGTCTTCCTTGCTTTCTCCTGACATCTTCAGTGTACAGGTTGAGCACTCACGCTTATCACTTGTTCCCACGTCATGATTATCTTGTTTGTCTTTTTTGGTCATACATTTCCCCAATGACATCCTTTATTCCAATTCTCATGTAAAGTTTCATTAAAGTAAATAAGAAAGTAGAGAACAGTCAAAATGGTAGAGTAGGAGGTAGCCAGAGCTCCTAGACAGCCATTCCACAAAGATCTAGAAAAAGCAACAGATAGATACAAAAATCCAAGAAAAAAAAATCAGTGAGTCACTTTTCTAAACTAAATGGGCATAAGGAAACAAAGTTCTGTGGACCCCAGGGAAAGCACGACAAGCCTTGTAGCACAAGAACTGAACAAGGACCTGCTAGTGGCTGTTAACAGAGCAAGAAGAGGTCCCAGATAAGGCCCAGAAGAGCCTGAGCTTGTGGGCAAAGGTTCCAACTACCCGTTCTGTTGTTCATACCCCAGAGCTGTATCATAGACTCAGAAAAGACTAAGGTAGGGACCTATGCATGAAGACAGTGGTCAAGAGCAAGGAAAGGGCAGAGGTGAGTAAGAAACAAATATGGAAACAGAAAACAGATATGGGACTGAACCAGGAGCCGAAAGGGATATCTTGGATCCGGATCCAGTCAATTCTGAAGCCTGCAGTGAAATAAACAGGGCAGGAAGCCAAGATCAAAGAAGTACCTGCAGTTTTGCCACTCTGAACCTGCAGATGGCTTACAGTGGCTAAGTTTTAGTCTACTGGAACTCCAGTCAGGGGCAAGCCTACAATTGTGTTGTTCAGAATCAAACTCAGGTCAAGAACTTGCAGAGTTCACACCAGGAAGACTTTGGGATCAAATGACTGATGCTCCTGAGATCCTTGAATAACCCCACTTTCAAAACACTAAGGAAGTGTTTTGACCAGATGAGGTCATTATGGCTGAAGCACTATATTTAATGGAGGCCCATATGCAAGATAATGAGAGGGAAATCAACCCTAAGAAAATCCATGGTCCAATCTGCTCAGTCAAGTTTGAGGATATACAGGGCTTGAGGAAAACCCAGAGGATTCAGAGAACAGTTCCAAATAAACTGAATGACCCCTGATCAATGCATTCCCACAATCTATGAAGGAAGCCCAGAGTTTTATTGGACTCTTCAGGGCTTTAGAGAACCCACATTCTCCATCTGGGTATCCTGATGGCCATCATTTACTGTATCAGCTGCAAATCTACCTCTTATATGTGGCCC